GTGAATCTGGTAAATCGATTATTTGAGCTCTGATAATACAGTCTCTCCATGACCATTTATTTTATTTTGCACATGGTCATCTTCATTGTTTGTTTGTTTAATCATATGCATACTGTGTTTTGCCCATTATAACATGTTGCCAAATTTCGCCCACCTCTGAGCAAAGACTTGCAATCCAAAAACTGTACACGAGGAGCAAAAAAAGAACATTTGATGGAATTATTTTCCTTTGTTTGCCATTGTACACTGTGTTTGTGATGTGTTAAGGCCCGTTCACACCAAGCACGATAACTATAAAGATAACGATGAAGATATAGTTCTAAAAATTGTTCTCAATATTAAAGAATAGCATAGTTCACACCACAACTATAACGATAACGATACAGAGGAACGATATCATTGTGATCACTTTCAAAATGATTTGTTTCCAGCTGACAACCAATCAGAATCCATCCTGCTGTAACGAGCTCAAGAATTTAAAGCGGCAGACGCATGTGCGCTTAGAATAAACAGACGATATCGTTCACTGGTGTGGACGCTAATATCGTTATCTTTATAGTTATCGTTCTTGGTGTGAACAGGGCTTAAGTGTTAGATTTTCAGATGATGCTTCAAAAAAAAACTCTAAAAATGCTCATTCACCCACATATATATATATATGCAAAATGTTCAATATTCCATCCTAATTCATAATGCTGCAAACGTACGCACATGTGGTGTTATAAATGTATGTGTAAGAGAATTAATCTTGATGAAAAGGTTAAAAGAATTGAAGATGACGAAGAGGATGTGATGATTTTAAGAGCATTTCTTATTTGTCTTGTCAATGTTAGTGTCCTGCTGTTGTTTTTTTATTATATTTTGAATGTTTTTCAAAGACAAATTGTTTTTGTTTTCAAAAACATTACACAACAGTTTCATTTGTATATGATATATACGTAAGTGTTACTGTGTTTCTTTTTGGATAAATATAAATAGACAAAAAAATATATGTAAATGTATTCAGGTCGATGTGACCGAGTGCTTCCAGAATCATTAACAAAAGAGGTGATACTAAGTAAAGAAGCCATTTCTGAGAATAGTACTTCCCTGAAATAGCAAAAAAAAATAACATGTTGCAACAATTGCAAAGTTGTAGTATATAGGGAACTGTATGTTATCTAGTTCTTTATCATTAAATGTGATTTAGTTTCCCAATGGAGAACAACCCACTGCTGAGACAGTAAATATATCAGTAAGGAGCTATTTTGTTTTAAACATGGCTCCTCGATCATGCAAACCTGGATCCTACAATGTACCCAGCATTGTGCAAGATTCAATCCTCCAAAGTGATTTCGTTTTCCAATTCAGGATTGGTACAGTTTCTATGATAACCAAAGTTTGGCAAGTTAGAATGACCCAGTTAAGAAAAAAAGTATTTTCTGATGAAGTCAAAGGACATGAAAAAAGTATAAAAAGTTAAAGGGGTCATATGATGCGATTTCAATTTTTCCTTTCTCTTTGGAGTGTTACAAGCTCTTGGTGCATAAAGAAGATCTGTAAAGTTGCAAAGACTAAAGTCTCAAATCCAAAGAGATATTCTTTATAAAAGTTAAGAGTCAACCACGCCTACCTAAAACGGCTCGTTCTAACACGCCCCCACATGTCTACATCACAATGTGGGAAGATTTGCATAACGCCGCCCAAATGTTCACACAAAGAAAGAAGGCGTAACTTTTATTCTCGCTGTAGTATTGTTGTTGCTGCCGCCGCCATGTCGTGAAGACGCTGTGTGTTTCGTTGTGAAAGCGAAACTACTTTGTTTGGTCTTCCAAAAGAGGACGATATCCGCTTCATCATGCCTGGAGCTGATCCGTGCTGGTCGCTGAGGAAATACATCAACTTATAAGCACTGCGGATCGCCGGATCGGCTTTCACCGTGGATGAAGCGGAGTCCAGCCCGGGGTCGTCACATGTGGTTGCCGCAAGCCCTCCGGACGCTCCTTTGTCGAATCGAATTGAACAATAATGTACAGTATGTGGAAAATAATGTTTTTTTTACTTTAAACCGCATAAACACATTTCATTATACCAAATACACCAAATAATGTTCTTTGTAGCAACATCATATGACCCCTTTAATAAAATATACACTACCATTCAAAAGTTTTTTTCTCTTTTTAAGAAATAATACTTTTATTCAGCAAGGATGCATGAACTGATCAAAAGTGACAGTAACCAAGAGTAACCAAAGTTTTCTATTTTAAATAATTGCTGTTCTTTAAAAAAAAAAAAATATATATATAATTTTTTATTTTTTTATTTTTTTTCAACATTGCTAATAATAAGAAATATTTCTTGAGATTCAAAACAGTGTATTAGAATGATTTCTGAAGACTGGAGTAATGATGCTGAAAATTCAGCTTTGCATCACAGAAATAAATTACATTTCAAAATATATTCAAATAGAACATTTATTTTATATTGCAATAATATTTCCTATTTTTACTGTATTTTTTATTTTTTGATCAAATAAATGTAGCCTTGGTGAGCATAAGAGACCTCAAAAACATAAAAAAATCTTACTGACTCCCAACTTTTGAATGGTAGTATATATCAGTAGTACAGTAAAACTTGAATTTTAAAGTTTGAATATTCAGAACCGATAATTATGTAAAAAAACAACAACAACTAGACGCTGGAACAGTGAGAAACAGCATTATATCAATGCAAAATCCACGCAAACTATAAAATATATTTAAATATACTATAATCGTCACATTATTGTGCATGCATCTGTGGTGGGATTGAATCCTGCACGACACTGGCACCAATCCTTGTTAAAATTATTGTATTTTAACAAACATGTAGCGGGACGCCAGGCCTCCTCATACACTGTGAAACCAAGAGACTTTCTTCCTCTAAAACTGATTAGTCTCCATTAGTTATGGATCTCTAGTGATTAGTTAGTTGAGAAGATTCATTCTCTAGATAAAAAAAATAATAATAATGTCTTTCCTCCATTTGTGAGTTGATGTTAAAATTAATATTGTGCTGTACTTGTAGTATGCAGATGTTTAAAATGTTAAAAAAGGACTTTTAAGAACTGATTTTTTCCTTGTGTATACTATGTAGCTGTGCCCTATACAACACTGTCAGGTCACTGAAACACATCGAACATGTTTATATTAAAAGAGCAAGAGCCCTCTATGAGGATAATTTAGGCTACAGTGTTGTTGTAGAGACCCATACACCGCTAGCTAGATTTAACTAGCTTCACCTATTAATGCAAAGCTTCTAGGCCGACATAATCTGTACAAATGTGTATCTACACGAGCCCATTTGCCCATTAAACTCACCTCTGCCTTTCTCTTTATGTATGTTGGTTGTTCTTTAAAGACTCCATGTGTTTTGATGACATTTACTGTATGTAAATGAGTGTTTGTTTATGGTGCGTGTGTGCATTTTGAATTTGTGTTTACAAATTAACTGAAAACTGTCATTGAAATGCATTCATTCACCCAGATTACACTCGAATCTGTAAAAACAACACAAAGGTGAATTTTGACAGATTTATTGCTTCTTACCTGAACTAAAATGTACAAAATCATAGCTATTGTTAGTGGTTCAGGCTTGAATGAATTATCTGTTAACAGAATTCTTACAGTACATGCTTAACTTTTACCAGCCATCCACAGGTAAACCTTCCCCAGCTTTCTACTGTTCTCAGTTTTAATCAATAAGTTTCCTTTATCAGCCTGCTAGATCTAGAAAGTTAATTGGCCAAGTTAAGTGTTAATACGCAAGTGTGATCTTCAGTGTTTTCGGATTTCAGGTTAAACACTGTGTTATCATTAATTGTAATTAGCACCTGTGTGTTTTCTCTCGGATTGGACTTTTTCACCCCTGAGAAGATACATTGCACAGCCGGTGTTCAGTGCATGCAACTTCATCTTGACATCTGTGTGTGTTCTAGAAAGTTAATTGGCCAAGTTAAGTGTTAATACGCAAGTGTGATCTCCAGTGTTTTCGGATTTCAGGTTAAACACTGTGTTATCATTAATTGTAATTAGCACCTGTGTGTTTTCTCTCGGACTGGACTTTTTCACCCCTGAGAAGATACATTGCACAGCCGGTGTTCAGTGCATGCAACTTCATCTTGACATCTGTGTGTGTGTGTGTAGAAGAGTTTTAACTGTGTTCATCTCAAATTCTTTTTTTAATTTTTTCAGTAGCTTTGTATTTGTGTGATTTTCTTAAAAGCATTTCTACATCTTAAAGGAATAGTTCACCCAAAAATGAAAATTTGCTGACGGTTTACTCACCCTCAGGCCATCCAGGATGTAGATGAGTTTGTTTCTTCATGGGAACAGATTTGGAGAAATGTAGCATTACATCACTCGCTCACCAATGGATCCTCTGCAGTGAATGGGTGCCGTCAGAATGAGAGTCTAAACAGCTGATAAACACATCACAATAATAACACAGTAAAAAAGTCCATCTCTTGTTGTTCTCTCACACCAAAATCCACCCACATATTTGTTTAATTTCCGATTTGGATTGTTTTGTCTTGTTAACGTTGCTTGATCTGTGCATATTTCTCACCTGATTCAGATGAGACAAATTTTTCACTGGAGAAAGCAAAATTATGGATAGAAGACTCGTATTTTAGCTTGTATCAACAGTTTGAAGTTAAAAACACAGCATTTTGCTTCACAAGATGTTAACTGATGGACTGGAGTGGTGTGAATTACTTGTGGATTATTGTGATGTTTTTATCAGCCGTTTGGACTCTCATTCTGACGGCACCCATTCACTGCAGAGGATCCTTTTGTGAACAAGTGCTAAATGATGAACAAACAAACTCTTCTACATATGGAATGGCATGAGGGTCTGTAAATTTTCAGCAAATTTTTGGGAGAACTATTCCTTTTAATTTTTCTGTGATTTTTCTTTTAAACGCTTTGCTTAATTAATGTTCATTTCTAACAAAATTATTATATCTCTGTTTTTGTCCGCAGTGTTAAGTTTCTAGCATTTGGCAATTCTATTAAGGAGACACGGTTATTCGCTGAATCCTGAAAATTTTGCCGATGGGGCCATACCATCCACACGGGACATGTGAGGAATGTCGGAGTGGCAAGAGGGTGTGACTGGGGAAAAAAAGAAAAACAAGGAAACTGGAATTTTCCGAGGCCGGATCGTCACACGGTAACCAAAGCAACCTCACCGAAATTCCGGATCACTCCTCTTTCTACAGACTGACTGACTTTACGGCAACAAAACCGATCATTGCACTGACACCTGAAAGAGAAAAAAGACTCTTGAAGGAACGAACGGAAAACATTCCAATGTTTTAAGATCAAAACACCAAGCGTTATGACTGCCACACTCACCTGGGCCCTGAGTTTCTGTATATTAATCTATATGTAAGAATGAAGGACCAAGTTAGAATAATTATGTAGCATTTCTGCTAAGACCCTGTAGCATTTCTTGGCTGGGAGAACTCTCCGACAGACTTTTTACAGACTGATATTTCATTGACCGTTTGCACAGAATGACTAAAAATGGCTTAGTCATGCACAAGTTTTATTGTTTTCTTCCCCCACTCAGCTTATTAGCAGCAAAATGTGTTGTTTGTGCATTGCCGTGTGGTAGTTCCCACTCCCCGTCTGAGTCTTAGAGTAGCTTTTCTTTGTGAATGAATCTAGAGCACTGAAAAGTGAAACGCAGCACTCTGCTTTGGTTAAAGACGTACGTTGCTATTCCCAAACAGTCTTCCAGTTTTTCCCCCAAGCGTTTGGGGGAGGCAACATCGAAAACAGTCCCAACAGACCAAAGCCCAACTGTGACCAAATAATGTACGAAAGCTAAAATGGTACAAAATAACTTAAGACATTCCCTGTCAGATCTGAATTTTTCGTCCCTTTAAATATGAACGGATTGGCTGTTCTGCCAGGGGTGCTGTTTGTAAATCCCCAAAAAAACTTAAATTGAGGGAGGTCTCTCTCGTTCCTGATTATAGAGATTTATTTTGTGATTTATTTAGTAGAGCTGATGCTGCCATTGATTATATACATGCACATGCAAGTGCTTGGACCAATAACAAGTGGAAGTTTGTTTTTTCCTCATGGAAAGAGGGTATAAAGGTCAGGGAAATGCAGAGACATTCTTAAAATCTCCCTTTCTAAAAATCGTCAATACATCTAAAACTGCCTTTTCAGAGTTTCCCTCCGTCTCTGTCTTGTATTCTCTCCTATTGGCTTGCCAGCGCCGTTCCTTCTTAACTAATCAGAGGGAACACAGGAGGTCACGCCAAACGAATCAAGAAGAATAAATGTGCAAAAAAAGAACAAATTTATATTTTGATAAGTAGTTGCAAAAACATCTCCATGGTTCACGAGGAACACGACGCAACCGGCGTCCGAACGCAACTGTAAAAACGCAACGCCGACCACCCTATGAACAGCCGCCGACTTATACAAAAAAGGACGAAAGAATAGATATTAACGCTCTCTTTTGGAGGGAGGGCGCAAAAACAGAAGAGATTGTTTCCTCGTAGACTGAACTGTGAGAAAATGGATGTCAAAATATATGAGAGAAAAAAAACAAATGAAAAAAAAAACTACTTGGAGAGAAAAAAAAAAAACTTAAAAATGCATTTTTGTAACTTTGTTTACCAGCATGAGAACTTTGCATGACTGTATTTTCTGCTAGCCCTTAGTTGAAGTGGGGAGGGCTAAAATAATAATTAAAAAAATATATTAATAATAAAGATGTTAATAAAAATAAATAAATAAAAAAAAACATGATATGCAATGGATATTTAAGAAAAATAATATATTTAAAAGAGCTATATTTTGTTTTGAAATAGGAAAAAAATTGGAATAAATTCTGACTGCGAGTTACACACTGAACTGTTTTATTAGTTTAAGATTTTAACAAAAACTCTCAATGCCACCAAAAGCGATTCTGCTATATACTGCCCCATGTTACATTCTCATTCGGTTTCATTTCTTCCATCGAAACGCCACCTGGACTGTATATTTTGGTTGCGAATCTCTCTCTGTATGTCGTAGGAATCGTCTATCTCGTCTTTTATTGAAGTGTTCGGCTAATGTTTGTCTGCGTACAACATTAGTTCCTTCTGTAGCCATGATAACAACTGTGCTGATGCTAGAATCCTCTGTAAGCGGGATATGGCGTTTTTCCCCCACATGCATCGGGATTAATAGCGTTTCATTCTCACTTTGAGTTCACCTGCTGTCATTGGCAATAATATGAATGATTGAGATGGAGAATGGAGATTGTAGCAAGGCAAAGTGGAGACTCGTATCGGTCTCAGCGTCTTCCTTACGAACAGATGCAGCGTGTTTTTGTAGAGGCATTGTGTCTCTAATCTCAGGTGAAAAATGTGAATGCTCAGTTCCGCACCAGACCTCTGCCTGCCCATGCAGCTATTTCTCATTTTCATTTCGTCTGATTGTTTTCATGAGCATTTTGCTGTCATTTGTTGATGTATTTCCTGTTAAAACAGGAAGTTAGGACACAGGCATCATCCCTTGCCAATAGTCTTTAGCCTTTAGCTTAGCAAAATCACAGCTGATAGCTTATTCAATGGGCGAAAGCAATGAAAACACTTGAATATGAATAAGCTCAGAAGAGAAAGAATTTGTCATTCTGTAATATTGGCTACAGAATTAGAATTGCTAACATTAAACACGCTAATTTGATGTCTTAAAATCGCCACCCAGTTTTTTTATCTTTTTGTTTATCATACAACTTGTTTTGGGTCTCAAGACGCCAGGTTAAAGTTAAATCTTTAGCATTTAGCTTTAGGCGAATAAAACATCACAGTGTTAAGAGTCAAATGTGTTTATTTGTCATTCTGTAATATAGGCTACATAATTAAAATTGTTAATTCTAATCATGCTAATTTGGTGTCCATAAATGTGCAGTTTTGCAATTTGTTTAGCAGTTGTTTTTGTATCTCAGGACACCAGGCTGAAGCTAAAGCTTTAGCAATTAGCATTAGGCTAATGTGAAACATACCAGTTGAGTTAAATGTTATTCTAATGCTACAGAATTAAAATAGCTAACTCTGATCATGTTAATTTGGTGTCTTGAAATGTTTAGTTTTACACAACCCGTTTATCATGGAATTTGTTTTCGGTTCCCAGGACACCAGACTCAAGCTTTAGCATTTAGCTTATGTTAATATGAAAATCAAAGTTAAATGTTTAGTTGCCATAATATTGGCTACATAATTAAAATAGCTAACTATGCTAATCTGACATCATAAGTGTTCAGTTTTACACAACATGTTTATCATAGAAGTTATTTTTCTTCTCAGGATACCAGTTTGAAGCTAACCTTTAGCATTTAGCTTTAAGAAAATGCAAAACATCATAGTTAAGTTAAATATGTTAACTGTTATCTGTTCAGTTTTACACAACATGTTTCATAAAAGTTGTTTTTAGTTCTCAAGACTCCAGGCTAAAGCTAAACCCTTAGGTTTAAGCTAATGAAAAACATTTTGAGATTTTTTTTTTTTTTTTTCAGATGGGCCTCACCGAAACTAACTTTGGCCTCACTCTAGTAGCATCTTTAGCATGGTAGCACTGCAGCTAATCTGTTAGCATTTATTAAACACGAGGGCATTTGCAAACTTGTTCACAATGTGCAAAAATTAGTGAGAGTCCTATGCAAGACGTATTAGCTATAAGCTACATGACAGGCGAATCACATGAATCATATTTTCAGTCATTTAATCAGAGTCAGCTTAAGCAAATGAGTCAAGGTTTATATTTTTATCGCAGATGTGTGTGATTTTATTTCAATGACAGGGCAGATAGATCAAATATAGATGCTCGCAGCCAGTTGCCCTTGAAAAGGTGCTTGACTGTCTTGTTGATATTGCAGATGAAAAGCATCTTGCTAATTAGCAAGTCGACAGAAAGGACAGAACGAAGTGAATATGAAAGACGGCGATGGTTCGAGCAGGCAGCGGTCCAGTGTCTGGTGTGGGGCACGGTTTGTGATATTTCGGGTGTGCCGATATCATCGGCTTCTGATATATGGTGGAAGTGGACATGCGACCTTTTGGGGAAAGACAATATGACACAGCTTATATTTTCGAAACCTAGCGAAAACGAGATGTCTCGACCGGTGCTGGGTCACTGGGTCCGTTCCCAGCCCAGAATGAAACCTTATTGCCCAAATAGGTCTTTGTTTTTTCAAAGTTGTGCATATTTATAGTTTTATAAATGCTTTTGTTTATAATTATCAATTTATTGAATAATTTATATTTTATACAGTTTTTTGTTCTAAGTTCATCACTTTGTTCCATTTCGAAGATTGTTCATTTTTTTTATGACCACTTTGTTGTCGTTCGCTATGAATATAAAAAAGAGCCTGTGTTTGGCTCACAAATAAATCATTTAAAGCATGCTTCTAGCAGGAGCACGACGACGCATAGCCACACAGGCAAACGGCAGTCTGATTTAGGTTTATTCTCAAACATAATGGTTTTGTTTTCAGGACAAGTTGAGCTTGTCTCTCCGTCTTTCACGCACATTGAAGCACACTGCCCTCTTAAGATGATTTGGAATGGTAGATCTGTCTGCATCTAATTCTTCTTGTTCGATTTACTGTGCCTGCTCTTGTATACAATGTCAGTTTGATCACTGTTTCTTGTGTATTAAGTTTGATTTGATGTACTTGAATTACAGATATGCAATCACCACCTCTCTGACCACTGCCAATCATCCCGATCAATCAACATGATCAGTAATCAATATGATTAAAGTGATTAACAACCTTAATGTGTTTTTCTTCATACAAGACCTAATGCACATTGACACTTGCATCCATACTGGAAGATATTTTCCTTTTGTTTTTGTAACAATATGAAACATGTTCGGTCAGAAAAAAGTTTTCGGTCAGTAAAGTTATCTTTATATTTATTTATCTATTTTTTATTCCGAGAGGACAGATTAAATTGATCAAAAGTGACAATAAATAGCTATTTCTATCTCAAATAAATGCTGATATTTTGCTCATTTTGTTCATCAAATATCCTGAAAAAAATCAGATTTCTTGAGCAGCAAATCAGAATATTAGAATAATTTCTGAAGGATCATGTGACACTGAAGACTGGAGTAATGATGCTGAAAATTCAGCTTTGCGTCACAGAAATAAATTTCATTTTAAAATGTTAAAATAGAAAAAAGCTATTTACATTTTTAATAATATTTCACATTACTGTTTTTACTGTATTTTTGATCAAATAAATGCCATCTTGGTGAGCAGAGAAAAAAAACTAATGAATGTAACCCCAGATTTTTGACCAATAGGCTATATATATTTGTGAACACATTCAGATATGCTTAATATAAAACGTACTAATTATAAAAATTATAACATTTTATTAAACAATCATTCCAAGATCCGGGGGCAATCTGATAATTTCTTGATATTTAATATTACAATGTTGACAATTGTTTATCAAAATTTTTGCACTACAAAACTTAACACAGGCCAGATTTAATATGAACTGTAAAACACAAAACAATGCATTTAAATCTGTTCAGAGGTTGGTTTTATTTTGTTAACAAATGAACAGAATTGAAAACATTCCTCAAATGCTGTATGAAACTTCCCATGTGAGCAAAGAAAACAGAAATTCAGAAAGCCAGACACGAAAAGCAGAAAGTTACCATGTAGCTTGACAAACCAGAAACACAAGAGTGCGCATGTTTATTACCGACCAAGAGAAATCATGGCAAACATGCAAAACACAAAAAATAAATATGCAAACCATCTTCCATTGTGCCATTTCAATTAAATCCCTGGAGCCAACAATAAGCAGAAGAAACTCCAGCAAGACAAAACTGGATCACTGTAACATTTTCTTTTCTGCACAATTTAGTGCCAGACTATTTTTTATTTTCCCAATCCATCAACTTCAGTTAAAATTTGTTAAAAACAACAAAAAGTGCCATTTATAGATTTATTGTGTTTGTTGAGAAATATTAGATCTGTTTAGTGTCACATTTTGGTGTTTGTTTCGACAACAATGAAAACCCTTCAACACATATTGGCCCATCTACTCCTGGCCGGTGGTGGGGTCAGTACTCCAGACCTCTCATGGTGGCGATGGCCGAGACCAGTCTGCGCGGGAGGGGTTTGGCCGTCTGCCGGTACTCGTCCGGTTTGGCACGAAGAAGGGTGACGATATTCTGGAGACTTCTAGAGGTCTGCAACCCCAGCGCATCCATCACATTACTCAGGTAATCTGGAATGACAATAATAAAACACATACACAAGTGTTTTTAAAGACCAATTATAACCCCCTCAAAAAATAGGAAAACACCTTAAACAGAAGGCCTGTTTTTCCATGGGCTTATTTGTAAAAATTACATTAAAACATTTTTTTTAATCTTTTAAAAAAACAAAACAAATTACACACATTGATCAATTCTACCTTCATAAAAG